TCGGGATAGGCGTGGGTCCCGAACTCCGACACCACTATCCGATTGGCCCGAAGGTTACTCTCGTAGGTATCGCTGCGGAGGAATCGGTTCTGGTATTCAACGGCGCCGTTGTTTATGCGGAACCGATGGATAAGCGCTAAGCCGTCGAACACGTGGTTGTATTTATCGGCGCCCACTTCTGTCAGTCCCGGACCGTTGCGAAGGAGAGTCCCCTTCAGCCACAATGGGATCGTCCCTTCAGGTTATCAATTGTGACAATAAGCGCTAAGCCGTCGAACACGTGGTTGTATTTATCGGCGCCCACTTCTGTCAGTCCCGGACCGTTGCGAAGGAGAGTCCCCTTCAGCCACAATGGGATCGTCCCTTCAGGTTATCAATTGTGACAGTGTTTCAAAATTAAATTATATTTTATATTATGTTTTAGAATTACATTTATATTATTATTTTAATTAAAAATTTTTAAAATAGAATTTAAGAAATAGAATATTCTATATTTAAAATAAAATATATAACCATATGAAATGTTATCTACTATTTTGAATAAATTGTTATTAATAATTCAATGTACCTATTAAAGTTACAAGCTAATAATAGAAAATTCCCTCACAGTTTAGCTTAAATATTTTAAAACAAGTGTCACATGTTTTGTCACAATTACAATAGACATACCTTTAATGTCGGCTTTGATGGGTTGCGAGCATTCTTCGAGACACGATCTCAAAAGCGGCACTTTCTTTGTTATGTTTGACATTTTCATTAACACTCTTAGTATCGCTTAAATGGCATACAATTCATACAAAATCCTCAATCCTTTAATCAAATATAATAGTTATTAAACCGAAATACACTTTAGAAGCGTACGATTGAATGCACGGCAACAACGATGACAATTGAAATATCAATTTGTTTATTTATTCACTGCAATAGCTATGGTGTGATTTGAAATGCTTGTAAACATGGTTTAATTTCTAGCTATTTATAGTTTAGTTGGTTTGCTGTACTAAACATGTGTATTGAAATCAAGTGTTGCATAATATATGAAAACATGTTAACCTTGTTATGATATTCCAGACAGTATTGCCTTACAGACACCCCTCTACTGTATCTATGCCTAATGCACTCATCATATTGTGTTATTTTTAATAAAAATAAATAGATTTTTATTTGATATTTTCAAAAATACAACTTGATAAAGTACAGAAAGTTGTAAAGTACTAATGTTATACAGATATGTATACTGTATACTGATATTTATAATTTTGAACTGATGTATGATAATGTATACTGTGGAGAAATATTGAAGATTATTTCCCCATTTGTATATTATATAATAAATAGTTGGAATTAATGATGGTAGCTCTAAAAAATTATACACTATTTTAAACATAAATTAAATTGCAAATAATTTTATCATTTTAAACTATAAAATGTTTCCTGGACAATTCAAAGATTATTTATTTGTCATACTTTAATGTTTTGAATAACATATCAATATTAAGATATAATGTGATAAATTGGTTGATAAAGTACTAAAAAGGCGTTTACTTTAATACAATTTGTAAATATAGTTTATTTTGAGTGTTGATTAGGTTTTTGCAATTAACACGTTATCATCCGATAATAACCTGATATCTGATATCTTTGTTTTATTCCCAAAAATATAAAATTATATTAAAATACAATTACTACATATTTTATATTATACTAGTTTATTGGTAAAATTGCTATACATCATAACATGAATCATGTAACATGATCAGTGATCACTTAATTTTAGTCATATAAGAGATTTTTATAATGGTCAATTTATTAAAATGCAATTTAATATAAAAAGTATTAACAAATATATTTAAATAATAAATTTTAAATGACAAAAGGACTTTTTGGGCTATCATACACTTAATCATGATTATTTAATAGATTAACCATTTACAGCGCTGTTTTTGTACCATGGTACCTTATGTTTATAGTCCTTTTTATACACACTCTTTGAGCTCATATTTGATACACACTCTCATTGATAGCCCTTTTGTAATAAGCGCTAAGCCGTCGAACACGTGGTTGTATTTATCGGCGCCCACTTCTGTCAGTCCCGGACCGTTGCGAAGGAGAGTCCCCTTCAGCCACAATGGGATCGTCCCTTCAGGTTATCAATTGTGACATTGTTTTAGAATTAAATTATATTGTATATTATGTTTTACGGAGTAGTTTTAGAATTATTTTTATATTATTATTTAAATTAACAATGTAAGAATTTATTGTATCTAAAATAAAGTAACCATATGAAATGTTATTTACTATTTTGAATAAATTGTTATTAATATTTTAAAATACTTGTTATAAATATAAGTTACAAGCTAATTATGGAAAATCCCCTCACAGTTTAGCTTAAAAATTTTAGACCAAGTGTTTAAAAGACTAATTAAATGTATCCCGTATTTTGTCATTATAATAGACATACCTTTAATGTCGGCTTTGATGGGTTGCGAGCATTCTTCGAGACATGATCTCAAAAGCGGTACTTTCTTTGTTATGTTTGACATTTTCATTAACACTCTTAGTATCGCTTAAATGGCATACAATTCGTATAAAATCCTCAATCCTTTAATCAAATATAATAGTTATTAAACCGAAATACACTTTAGAAGCGTACGATTGAATGCACGGCAACAACGATGACAATTAAAATATCAATTTGTTTATTTATTCACTGCAATAGCTATGGTGTGATTTGAAATGCTTGTAAACATGGTTTAAACATGGTTCTAGCTATTTATAGTTTAGTTGTTTTACTAAACATGTGTATTGAAAGCAAGTATTGCATAATCTATGAAAACATGTTAACCTTGTTATGATATTCCAGACAGTATTGACTTACAGACACCCCTCTACTGTATCTATGCCTAATGCACTCATCATATTGTGTTCATTTAAAAAAAATAGATAGTTTTTTATTTGATATTTTTAACTTGATAAAGTACAGAAAGTTGTAAAGTACTGTATTTACTGATATTTATAATTTTGAACTGATGTATGATAGTGTATACTCTAGACTCTAGAGAATCATTGCGAAGATTATTTCCCCATTTGTATATTATATAATAAATAATTAAAATTAATGATGGTAACTCTAAAAAAATTATACAGTATTTAAAACATAAATTAAATTGTAAATAATTTTATAATTTCAAAGTATAAAATGTTTCCTGGACTATTTATAGATTATTTATTTGCTATACTTTAGTGTTTTCAATGACATATCAATATTAAGATATAAAGTGATAAATTGGTTGATAAAGTACTAAAAAGGCGTTTTCTTTAATACAATTAGTAAATATTGAGTATATTTTGAGTGTTGATTAAATTTTTGCAATTAACACGTGATCATCAGATAATAACCTGATATTTTAAATCCCAATTTTCACAAAAATATCTTTGTTTTATTCCCAAAAAATACGAAATTATATTAAAAATACTTAATAAATATTTTATATGATGTTACGTAATATAAATTAAATTATTTACATATAAATATTTAATAAAACATTATGATGCTTAAACACAAACAAATTATTTAAATGCGTTTGTTAAACATAACATTTTTGAAAATATTTATCAATCTATAATCAGGTTAAATATTAACATTAAAATTAACTAAATCTTATAACTATTATATACTGTAACTTTGATAGATATCATATAATATATTAAATTAATATAACAAACCATCTGGAATTTGTAGAGTTAATTATTAAATTATACTATTTGTGACCATGTTTTTTTAATTTAACAATTTAGTATAAAAGATGTTATAACCCTGTCTATAGTAATTATAACTATAGTATATAATATCTATTATATATAATAGAGTATATAATTGTCACACAAATAATTTAACATAATCATGTAAGTAATGAAATGGCTTAAAAGTTTTATTATTGTTTAAAATCTGCCTGCCAATAGGTTAACATGGTTGTCACTATTTGTAACAATTATATTTGGTGCGATCACGTATTAAATATCATATAATATATTAAATTAATATAACAAACCATCTGGAATTTGTAGAGTTAATTATTAAATTATACTATTTGTGACCATGTTTTTTTAATTTAACAATTTAGTATAAAAGATGTTATAACCCTTTCTATAGTAATTATAACTATAATAGCGTATATAATTGTCACACAAACTTAAATTGTATTAGTACATTCATTACTTTACCGAATTTTCAAAATAATAACAAATTTTAGACGGACGGTTATCCAATTGTACCAACAGTGATAAACATTGTTAATATAAACCACGCTAGTGCATAATTTTGGCATCATTTTATTACAATCTTCGTAGATATCCACCTGGTCCAACACCTCTACCATTAATCGGCAATATATTATGTGAATTAACATTTGTTTTGACAAATTAATTATTTACTGTATAATTAATAATAATTTATATTCTATAGTATTTAGAAATCTAAAACAACACATTAGCCAAAAATTGGCAGATCTATGCAAATTGTATGGACCGGTGGTCACCGTATGGGTCGGTCCGCTCCCAATCGTATTGATCAGTGATCCGGATATTGTTAAACAAGCGTTTAGTAAACTTGAATGCTTTGGAAAATTTCAAGCAATATTTGGTATATTTTGAACCTTGACCAATTTTTACATTTATACACGAAATTATACTTTATTAGAATTACTCTATTGCAAATTATTTGTAATTATGCAAAATTTAACAAAATTTTATTCTAGGTAATATTTACAACACCCATAAACATTATGATGTGGCCCTAAACAATCACTTCGAGAGTTGGCAATGGCTTAGAAAAATGACTCACTCAGGCATTAGGTCTCAGAATCTCTATATTAATTACTTGACACTAAATTGTTATTTAAATTTTGTTTTCTATATAACAATATTCTATTCACTTATTTATAAAAACCACAATTTTATGCACTAATTAGCAAATTTACAAAATCAACGGATTTCACACAATTAGTGAACACAACTGTTGATCAAATCTTAGCGCAAATGTTGGTTAAAGAGGGCATTAATCGGGCGTTTAGTCCTAAAGACTATTTCAATGCATTAATGATGAATATTTTCAATGCTGCCATTTTTAACCATAAGTACAGTTTACCTAGGACAACCATTTTAAAACTGTTTTAATTAATTTTAATTTGTTTAATGAAGGTTTGACCAGAAAATGAGCACTAAATTTCAATATGCTAACATAGTTCTTACACAAGACGTTAGAAATTCATACGCAATCTACGAGTATATACCCATATTTCGATATTTTATGTCCAATCCATTGGAAAAATTACAACAAATATATAACGAGTGCTTTAATTACACAATTAATGAATTGAAAACCCGTGAAAATAATTACGACGAGAGTAATGAACGAGATTTTTGCGATCAGTTTATCGGCGCTAACCGTAGGGCAGAGTTGAAAAGAAAGCCGGGGTTTGAGTTTTTGAATCGTGATAACATTGCGGCAGTAATTATGGACATTTATTTGGGTATTATTTAAATTATATGATGTCGACAAAAGTATTTATATTAATTATTGACTACATTTTGAATAATTGACACATAAGCGGGACCTGATACCACATCTCATCAACTCTTATGGCTAATATTATTGATGACATATTATAGCGATTGGCAAAATGTTATGCGACAAGAGATCGACGATAAATTGGGCGATAGGGCGCCGGTTGTGGACGACAAACAATGTTTGCATAATGTAATGGCATTTCTATATGAAACGGTTCGTTATAGAAACGCCGCACCGATTGCCTCACCACATATGGCTCTGGAAGACACGACAATAGGTTTATATGGGTTATATAATAGTTTACTCTCATGGTTATTTACTAATCCAATTATTACCTGACATTTATAACAATAGGCGGTATATATCCAATTCCTAACAAAACAATAGTAATTCAACATTCATATAGTATACTGAAAGATGATAAATATTGGCCAAATGGTGAGCAATTCAGTCCGGCACGTTTTCTAGACGACCATGGGTGTTTCAGATCACAACGCTCTTCAGCGTACATACCGTTTGGTACGGGTATGCGGAAGTGCCCTGGTGAATCAATCGTAATCAATGGTCTGTTTCTAATTATGGTAAAGTTTCTTCAGTACACTCGCAACCATACAATACGACTGACCGACAAATATTATACACCAGAGAGCATAGAACCCAATCGCGACGGAAATGCATTGGTTTTTAATGTTAATGATTTTGATATTGTTTTTGACAAATAATTAGTTTTTATATAAATTGTGTATTTATTAAAATATATTTTATAAAACAATTTTATTAATTTTTAAACTTAATTTGGTGTTTTTAAAATTTAATAACAAATTCAATTAAAATACTGTACATTAAGTAAATACTAGTTTATTATTTGACGATTCTTTACTGTTCTGTATAGTGAGGGGCATATATTTGTCTATATCCGGAATAATCAGATAAATATGCACGTTGTGTCGATTATATGAGTGTTGTTAAATTGCATCTCAAACACAATTAACACAAATACGGAGGCAGTAATATATCAATATTATAACAACAAATATAACAATGAGCTAATAATAGATTATTATATAATAGGCTATACCAGCTTAAACTGTCTGTCAATCATAACGTGGTGTTGTTGTGACACATGCATTTTTGAAGATATTTATCAATCTATAATTAGATTTAAAATTAACATCAAAATCAATATACAGTAATAAATCTTATAACTAAAGCATTGACTTTTAGGTGACAAAAACCAGTCTTAAAGTCACTATAAAAGTTACTTAAAAATGGCTAAAAAGGTGCTAAAAAGTTGCTAAAAAGGTGCTAAAAAGGTGGAAAAAAGTTGTGAAAGTTATTTATTTTGCATTAAAATAATACATTCAAAGGTCAATAGCCTTTATGTTCCCCAACGTGTCATTACCGGTTCGGGAAGCAATGTAATTCCGGGGCATAAATTCCACGTTAGCGTTAGTTTAGCGTTAGTTATTTAGTGAATTAATAAATTGTGAAATTGATGTTTGTTTAAATTTAATTTGACGACATTTTTCTTTGTGAGATTTTGAATTCATGTGTTGATCATTGAGTATTTTGTGATTTATCCATTAATTACGTATAAAATTTGCAAAATAGGTGAAAAGTTACTATAAAGTTACTAAAGGTGAGAACGTCCCAAAAGGTGCTAAAAAGGTGAAATAAAATTCTTCCAAAATACTCCTAAGGGGGTGAATGGTATGCCCCCAAACTTTCAGGAGGTTCTCCGCTTTCGGAACAAAAAGTTATTTAACTTCAAATCAATGCTTTACTTATAACTATTATATACTGTAACTTTGATAGATATCATATTATACAGTATCATTAAATTAATATATTAATCCATCTGGAATTTGTATTACTGAAATTAAATTATACAATTTGTGGCCATGTTTTTTAATTTAACAAATTAGTTTAAACTTTAAACTTTAAACTAAAAAAGGATGTTATAACTTATAACCTTTTCTATAGTAATTATAACTATAATAGAGTATATAATTGTTACAAAAATAATTTGACATAATCATGTAAGTAAAGAAATTACTTAAGTGTTTTATTATTGTATTAATTTAAAATCTCTCTGCCAATAGGTTAACATGGTTGTCACTATTTGTAACAATTATATTTGGTGCGATCACGTATTATTTGGCATTATTTTATTACAATCTTCGTAAATACCCACCTGGTCCAACACCTCTACCATTAATCGGAAATATATTATGTAAATTAAAATGTGTTTTGACAAATTAATTATTTACTGTATTATTAAGAATAATTTATATATTATAGTGTTTAGAAACCTAAAACAACACATAAACCAAGAATTAGTAAAACTATACAAATTGTATGGACCGGTGGTCACCGTATGGGTCGGTCCGCTCCCAATCGTATTGATCAGTGATCCGGATATTGTTAAACAAGCGTTTAGAAAACTTGAATGCTTTGGAAAATTTCAACCTATATTTGGTATATATTGAACCTTGACCAATTTTTAAAATTATACACAAAATTGTACTTTTAAATTGTTTATAAACTAAATTATAGTATAAACATACTAAGAGTGAAAGCCGCGAAGTATTCAATTTGTGTTACATTTCTATGACTTCTCAACCTCTTTGACATCACTTCACAACAACTCTATGCAAACACAACACAACACAGACGAACCCCTTTATTAGCAACACTACCATTATGTACACCACATCACACAACATATCAACCCTTCTTATATTGATTCACACCATAATTATCACTAATTATGTCTATGATATGTAAAAGTGTGATAACAAAAGTGGTAAAACTTTGCACATGTTTGAGTTAGCGTTAATAAATCATATAAAATACTAATATCTCTGTTATTAATCATTATTATGAGAGTACGAGAATAGTTTGTTGGAGTCTTATAAATTGAACATCATATGATTATGTTTGGTTTGATAAAGTAACCTTTTAATAACATGTTACATATATTAACATTTATATTAATTTTAAAAAGGCATAGAAGTTAAATATACGGCAATAAATGAATTTTGGTACTAATGGGAACCTAAAATTTTTATAATACAATATTATTTTTGTATTAGATATTTTGATAGAATTATTACCATTTTTGTATAAATATAATAATTGATTTTTATTAATAGCTAATTTTTCGGAAAGAATATAACGTTAATGAATAAATATTTAAATATTTTGTGCAGTAATAGAACCCATACTTCAATGGAATATATGTAATCTCTTATCACTAAATTTTAATCACTTTAATAAATTGCTGACGATAACGTGAAGAATGTCATTTTACTCGCTATAGCAAATATAAGCAGTGATTGACAATATTTTGTAAATTAAATAATAATTATATCATGTATTCATCACTTCTTTATCACTTGATATTATTTGAGTGAATATTGAATAAAACCGAGAATACAGTGTGAATACAGTATGACTACTGTTAACCAACACTGTCTGTAAATATTCAGGAAGTTTTTACTGCATATAAACCGTGCTTTGAATGTATTGATTAGAGGCTTGTTATCACGTCATACAGTATACAGAATATAAAACTTATAGTAATTAAATTGTTTTTCAAGTTATAAACAATTGATATAAATTGTCGGTAATTAATGAATGACACGAAAACCACAGATTATGGCAATTAAGGATAGTTGTTGTCATCATTTGATTGCTTTCATCAATACTATTCATCAAAAGATGACAATTAGTTTAATCCAGAGAATACTTCTTCACATTCACAGTCAGTATTATAAAAAGTATCAAAAGTTTTTAAAATTATATGTAATTTATGATTAATTTGTAAATATTGAAGTTAATTAATTAAATTAGTACTCATGTATTAATATAAACTTGTAATTGTACTAGAACATTTACACCACAGAATCCACTATAATATTATTAATATTCTATGTGATAGAGTGTATAACTTTTCCATCACACAAAGTTGTCATTGAATGCAATGTTGCCACTGTTGCCAATGTTGCCAATGTTCCCAATGTTCCTAATGTTGTCAATGTTGCTAATGTTGAACAACAGTATAAATTCTATACTGAATACCCTTAACAGCGCTGTGTAGTGGAAGTTGTGTCTCAACACCTCTACCGCTAACAACACTATAAGTAGTGACAACACTAATGATGAGGATTGAGAGGATTTGAGGATTGAATGATCATTTGGACATCATTTAGACATTAACTACAATTGACTCTTATTTGTGCGACAATTGATTGTGATTTACAAACCAAACAACAGATCATATAATTGTTGGACTCATTGCTATCTATAGCGAGCGATGGGTTCATCGAGTGGTGTAACGAGAGGTCAATTGCGGCCACACTTTTCAGCCCGAAGTCCGCCCTTTGTTTTGGCCGCTCTTTGCGTCAGTTTAGGAATCCTTGGAATCAGTTATTGGAGTCTTTCTCAAGAGTATAACCAATTGGAGGGACAGCTGAAGAAGACTTTGATCCGCAAAGACTCCATCGAAAATGATTTGACTTTTATTCAGAAACAATTGAATCAAAGGGAAGAAGAGTTCAGTCGAGCGAAGCAAACGCTGCAGAAGAAGGACGAAGACTTGACCGGATCCAAGACTGACATCAAAGCTAAGGCCGAAGAACTACACGCTATGCTCTCAAGAGTGGATTCACTCAAAGACAGCAATGTATGTGGAATTGCAGTCAAATTGTTTTCATATGAATATATTTATTTTGTATACATTTTTAGGACAAATGCAATGAAGAGCTGAACAGTAAGTCCAGGGAATTGTCGGATGCGTTGAATAAAATGAATGAAATGCAACAAAAAGATGCCAAAAATGATGATAAAAGTGAGGCATTGAATCAATTAAGAGATGAAAATAAACGATTGGAAACACAGTTACAAGAATTGAGACGTGAATTAAATTATCGGAATTCACTCAATATTAGTAACAAAAATGATACAAATTCTGTCAGTTATGAGGCAAATGGTAACCAATTTTCAAACAATGATACCAACTATTATGCCATCGATTCAAACAAATCGACGATCAATTCAAACAAAACTGATAATAATGTGAACAAAATAGAAATGGATTCTCTCGTCAAACCCAATGCCGGCGACAATCAAAATGAGACACCAGAACAGGCAGTGATTGCCAAACCTGTCAAAGAAAACCAATTGCTTAACAATGCTTTACCCGAAGAAGACCGCAAAGAAGAAGGTCTGGTCGACGCAAACGAGAATGAATTGGGAGACCAATTGAAAGCCGACGGACCAAATGATCTCAACAAAGAATCTGAAGATACCAAACAAAATATACGATAAATAACAACAATTTATACATCAGTTACCAAATGAATAGCCTATTGTTATGTTTAATAAATAGTATTAAAAACATTAGGTTATAATCAATCATAAAATCATTTTATAACTCCCGTTACGAATCAGTCATTTGTTCCTCTTTTCTATAATTTATAAAAAATTTTGTGTATAATTGTATTCATATTTATTTGAAATAAACATAATTAAAATTATTGTATATTATTTAATAACATTACTATAAGTTGTAATATTATGCTAAAAAATAATTTAAATAATACAGTAATGAGATATCATTGCATTCATTACTATATATTTTATATTAAATGAATCATAACATTGATATCAAATTTTAAAAAACATTGAACGCCGAGACATGGATTCGCAAACTCATTGAAAAGGGGTTCGGTTTGGACTCCAGTTTCTTCACATCAATTCATTTTACATTTAAGTATATTATCATTAAAAGGGTCTTATAATTACATATCAAATAAATTGTCAATTATTTATACAAATTTAAATTAAAAAGAGATCTCATATTAATTAGTCTCATATAATGGTAATTATCAACAAAATTGTCAATTTAAGTAAATCTCATTATAGTATTATTTCTATAAACAATAGTTATTAATTAGAACTGAAATCATATGACCTCAGTTTCAATATAAATAAAATCCATGTCTTAATCATTCTTCGAGTTCTGATTCACTTTCGTCAAAACCAGATAAGTCCACGTCTCGCAGCAGTTGCTTACAGAGCGCGTACTCCAGAAGTGCTAAATAACAGAACACATACTGATCGGGCACTTGTATACTATAGGCTCGTTCGCCCCGTATCTTCACTACAGTCCGCTTGATGTCTATTCTTCTGGTTGTCTCCAACCGTTGTATACTTATATCCAATGTTATAAATGTCCCTAAAATTGGTATAAATATTCAATTTAGCAAATTATAATAGAGAGTATGAATATACAGTAGTTAGTAGAAAATATAATTTACCGGTTCGGCCAATGCCTGCACTGCAGTGAACAACTATAGGAGGACCTAATGGGTGACCAGTCCATAGGGAACCCATTGATTTGGTTGCGTGCGATTGATATTCCCGTACTTTGTCTCTGAAGTCCAACATTGCAAC